ACTATCTTAGTTCATGGTGGACCGTGATTCCAATATCGTAATTTTACATTAACAAACAATTGTGCCTTCCCCCCGGTCAGATCTTTGGTCTGGATTCGTGCCTGGTGTGAGTTATACTCTAAAATACTAGTTAAAGGAATCGTATTAGCCAGTATGTAATATTTGGCAGTTGAACGTGTCATATTGTCCACACTTTTTATCAGCATAGAAACATTGTCGATAAATCATAATACAGACGTTTTATCCACAATGTTACCGAGATCAATATCAACATAAACAAATTTATAAATGATCACAGGGGCGGATTGGGGTAAGAATTCGTCCCGGGCGATCCTAGGTAGAGGCCCAAAAATTCCACGAATATCATAATACAGCATAAATTTCTTTATGACAATGTCCAATCACCATCTTTTCATTCGATTCACAAAACTAAAAAACTTAAAAAAAATTCTTTGTGTCCTTGATGGTCAACTGAATCAAGCAATTATCGTAGTCGCTCCAAAAAAAAAAACCTTATTTACTATTAGCACCATTTGAATACCTTTTCCTTATTTCTAGCTAAATTAATGTATGAGCAATATTATGGGAATCGTATAATGTATTCAATATAATTAGAATTTTTAATTATTTATTTTAAATAACTATAAATAAAAAAAATATTTAGAAGAATAGTTAATTATACCTAATTTAATTAACATGTAACTTTTGTATTTGATGCATATAATAATTAGTTATTATTATCTTAATAACCTAGTATATGATAACCAAAACTAGCTAAAATACTGAAAAATACTGTTTACAATTTTTAAACTTAAATAACACTTTATTTAGTTTAAATGATAAAAACATAATAATAAGATTAAAGCAATAAAAGTTTTTACATGGTCACATTTGATGAACCAAGTACATTTTTTACCTCTCCGTTGTTTGCTTTCATCAACATATCTTTTTCTACAGACATCATCATACATGCTTCCAAATTATCTTGGCTTAGTGAATTTCGAAGTCTTGTTTTAATTGTTTTTAATTTGGAAAAGCTTCTCTCGGACGCTACTTGACTAACAGATAATGTTAAAATAAACTTATATGCCAAGTATAAATATTTGTAAGCTTTTGAATGGAAGTTAAAATTGTTTAAAACTAAATAAACACATAGAATACAATTTGTACATGTTTTTTTACAACTCTGTTTGTTCAGTTTCAAATCACTCATATCATTATCAGTCTGGTCACTGTCACTTTCATATTCTAAATAATCTAAAGGAACTGTTTGGCATAATTTTGGCTATTTTGATTTAAAATCAAAAAATTCTAACCTTAAACTATTAGCTGTAGCATCTGAATCAAAACGCATTATGAGATCACTTAATCTTTTAAATGCTTTGTGTGATATAGTTTGATCTGTATCTTGAAAATTTTTTGGATCCAATATGGAGAAGTCTGCAAACAATGATTCATACTTACTAAACCGTTCCTTTAATGTCATAATTACATTATCAATAACGCGATTGTGAACACTTATTTTAAGAATGAAAAAATATATATAACATAAATAAAAAAAGTGAAAAATCAAAAAAATAATAATAATAATAATAATAATAATAAACAACTTTTTCTTACATATTTGTAAGTATAACTAGTGATGTAAACTTTTATGAATTTATTTTTGTGTGTTATAAATTCTTAACAAATACATCACTTGACATTATTTAATATTTAGTTATAATATATTTAACCTTCATAATTATATTTAGGGTACACCAATAAATCGAGGTTAGGTTTACATTTTCCATGAATACAGCCCGATTCACAAATAGGAGGGAGTTATTGTGCTATCACTAGTGTGATAGCTCGTGTTCTAATTTTTAGGTCCGTGTGAATCGGGGACCGATCAAGTGGAGGGGGACGGGGGGGGGAGTCTAGGGGCCCCCGGCGACAGACATATTATTTCCCATTTTTTTTTTTTAAATAATTCNTTTTTAAATAATTCTATAGATCGTGTTATTGCTATATTTTTAATTTACACGTATGTCTGATAATTTAATATGTTATTTTATGTATTATTCTGGGGTGCACTAACTAAGATTAGATAGCACTATCTTAGTTCATGGTGGACCGTGATTCCAATATCGTAATTTTACATTAACAAACAATTGTGCCTTCCCCCCGGTCAGATCTTTGGTCTGGATCCGTGCCTGGTGTGAGATATACTCTAAAATACTAGTTAAAGAAACCGAACCTATATGTGTACCTATATTAAGAATTAAAGTATAGTTATAATTTCTTAAACAACATGCTTAATGTATATTCTGAATGTAAATCATAACATGTTAGTATACTAATGTCATGCTCTTCTGTAAGCTGTGATTGTTTAATGTATTATTAAAAAAACATATATATTCTGGCTATTGGTGGGGAGTGGCAGAACGCGTTTTAGACAAGCACGGATTAGATGCCTACATACTAACTATTGTTTTTGAACCATTTAAACCATACTACTCCAATTTTATTATGAAATACAATGAAACTATTTTAGATTATAAAATAAAATAAAATCATTTTCTATAGGAGACAGATTGTCTGGAATGGTTTCATTGAATTAAATGATAAAATTAATTTTGAATCAATAAACATATTTAAATATTTAAAAAGTTGTCAGAAATTACCAAGCATGAATTAAGTCTTTAAAATTAACAGTACATAAAAGGTGACTATTTTTTTTTTTATAACATTTATTGTATATCAAAAAATACATTATGGCGGAATAATGTATAAAAATCAATAAATCTATCAAGACGATAATTCTATTTTTATGTTAGAAAATTTAATAGGAGCAACCGAGCAATTAGATACACAGACATTGCATACAATTATCTACTATTACATTCTGAAAGAAACATTTAAAATCTAAATGCACCCAAATTTAAACTTAAATAGAAAATAAATTTTTTTTTAAATCTTACCGATAGAAAACAGAGGTACAATGTCTAAAATTACTAGTTGTATCAGGTAACGGTTCAGCCCACACATTATCAATGTACACTTGTATCCTCATCACTTGACCTGAAAGTTCAGAAATATGTTAAACTGCATAAAATAAGAGGATATCACATCCGTGTGTGCTGTCGGCCTCTTACAAACAAACAATATAGCCTATTTTAGGTTCACAATAATGCATTTTACTGTATTATTTTTAAATTTAAATTAAAATTGACATAACCAATTTAAAGGTAAAATGCACGACAATCAGAGGCTTTTATTGACATTTTAGTTAAAAAGCAAGTTATGTGCATTTTATAATTGCAATATTTAGTAGATTTTAAAATGGTTTTAACTAGCATCAAAATTAAAATACCAATAAAAGAACTACCCAAAATAATAGTTTTACTTATAAATTTTAACTTTATTTTGCTATGTTGTACATTTTTAGGACGAGCCAACACATTGGGTTGCCATTCTCTTAAGAAAGTTATCATAAATACCAATGATCAGTCTTTGTATTTGGGACGTGCATAGTTCTGAGACAGGTGATGATTGAATAGACCATCATGTAGGTTATCCTCTTTGCCCCCTTCATATACATTCTGCAAGTCACTCATAATTCATTTGTTTCCAAAGTCAATATTCAAAAGTGAATTCATATCATTGAACATTCTAGACAATATGTAAAATCCAGAAGTTATTTTATTATTTTTAATGTATAGTAGGTAGGGTCCTTTTATAATAATAATATTTGAATATACAATACAATAATCAACTATTTAGGTATCATTATGGGGACCGTTTGCTAAAGATTACATTTTGGTATTTTTTTACAAAAAGTAGGTTTATATGGATATATTTTTAAACAAAAATAAAAATATAAATTATTGATACTTTGCATTCAAAAGAATAAAAAATATAGTCTTTACCTAATAATTATTAAATACTAGTGCCTTATCTGTTACCATTTGATACTTCACTAATTGCCGTACAGCAATTATTGGTCTTGGTCTAGAAAAACAAACATTATAAAAATGTTTTTGTTATTTATTGTTTTTTCAGTGGTCCTTATTATTAGAAATTAATTGAATGAAGAAATTAATCGTAAACGTTATAAAAATCTGAAAACCCTTTAGGAAAAATACACAATATTTTGAATGTATAGTTAAAATATTCAATGGAAATTGAAGTTTAAAAAAATCCTTAATTTACCCTACAATGACCCATATCGAAGAGTATTCATTGAGATTATTTATAGTTTTTCATTACTTTTTTTTAGTAAAAAGATACTTACCAATATTATACACTTAAAATTATATAATATTTCACTACATCCGTATATGATAAATATATATAAAAGCATTATGTGGTAAATTTAAATTAATAATATTGATTAAAGAACCTCACAAAATATAAAATACCTCACCAAATATCACAGAGTTTATCGCCAATGATGAAAAATTTTGCCTCTTTTTTTGTCCTTTTTAACTAAAATATTTTAGTAAATTGTCAGAAATAGAGTAGCTTATAGTAGCTGGTAACGTAAAACGCCCATACCGACTTAGCTCTATGACCTATACAAATAAACACATTAAACATTTCCTGTACCTAAAGAGATTATATAATACACATGTCAAACTGAACAATATAATTGTTATATATTATATAAAACTTTTTTAAATTTTGATCTAAAAATATATGTGGTCAAACATGTAATTTATTTTTTTGTCTAATTTATTTATTTTAAAATTATAGTCAATATTCTTGTATAAAAATATCCAAGGTATACTGCATATCTAAAGTGAGAAAGATAAAATATATCAACTTAATCAGCATAATTTATGTGAAATTATATAATAATATTATATATTACAAACATACTAAACTTTTGTTTGGGCCTACATACAATGTATTTAAATTTAAGTGGTGTCCTCTGTATCTTTTGATTAGTATAGTAAATTGGTAAAATCATTAAAAAAAATAAATGAATTATGAATGATACATTATTTATATTTACCACTTTTAATCTGAAAACATTATCCAACAGTTTACTTTCAAATTCCAATAAAGCTTCATCTGTTTTTAATGGAAGTATATTATTTAGATAACGAAGAAAATCATCTTCAAATGAAACATTTATTGGATTGCCAATTAAAAGTTATTATTGCCAGAGTTCATATTTAAAATCAGTTCTTCAAGTTTTTCATTTTCTCCAATCAAAGTTTTTATATCATATTTCATATTTAGAACATTACGATGTAGTTTGTGAAGAATATCTGAAAAGGAAAAAACACATAAAAGCATTTAAAAAATGTAAATCATCATTATAATCATAAACAAAATATTTTTTAAAAGAAATTGAATAGAAAAATTATTTCTAAGTAAAAATAAAGTACATTTTTCAAGTTAATCAAGTTCTCATATTATAAAAATGTACATAAAATATTATTTAATACAAAATCAATTATAATGTACTTGTATGTTTACCATTTTTATAAGACAAATTGAATGCAGATGTATTTGACAATTGGGATACATTTGATTGCAATTCAGTAATTCCTTCACTTTCAACAATAGATATTTTAAATGGTGAATATGGAGTTGAAATGATTTTTGATGATCCATAAAAATCAGATTGTGAGTTAGTAAGTTCTTCACTTTTGACATTTGATATGTTTAATTGAGATGATGGAATGAAAATAATCTCTGATGACCCATAGAAATTAGATTGAATTAATTATGTCTTCACTTCTGGCATTTGTTACTGCAGATGACGATAATTTTAAAAGGAATTTTGTTGGTTCAGATTCTAAAAGAAATTATAATACAGAACTTTGGATTATTTATTAGGTACCTCGTAACTATTACAAATCAAAAGTATATATATTTATACACTTTACATATTACAGTTTTGGAAATTAATATGCAGTGAAACCTCCCTTAATGGACACCTCCAAATAGCGGACCTTTTTTCGGGGACGGGGAAATTTTTACTATTTATGTATAGGAAAACCTCTAAATACAGGACACTCTAAATAACGGACATTTTTATGACACTGATATTAATAATTTTTATCTTAAATTAAGAATTATTTTGGAGAACAGAATAAAAACCTCAATTATTAAGTTATCTTATGTGTGCATTATTAAACTGTACATGAAAATCTTATTTTTTCCATTCAGTCACTTTATCGCGTCAACGAAATATTGTAACTAATGCATTGTCTTATGTGCGTTTAGTTGTGTTTATGATGCCAGTATACGAACGTTTTGGCATTGCTAGCCGTAGAAGGCATACGTAAATATATTTCTTCTATCGAGATACAGAATAGTTCATTGAAATCAAACAAAGTGAAATTAAAAAATGCCTTAACACACGAAATAAGTACGCCTGCCATTAGTAAACATACTAAAGTAACAGATTTTATTCAGAAAATAAATGTTAGTTTTTATTTTTATAGTGTACCTATTTAATTAATGTAAAAATAATATAAAATAAAATTATTGAATTTATTTGTCTATTGAAAAAAATGTTTTCCTCTAAATAGTGGACACCTCTAAATAGCGGGCAAAATTTCGGCGACCGAGAATGTCCGCTATTCAGAGGTTTCACTGTACATAAAATGTATTATATAAATAGTGAATTGAAATAGAAATAATAATAGAAATTCTATGTAAAGCACAATTAATGTATTTTTTTTTGAATTACTATCTTGTAGGTGAACTGTTGTTCTTATAATAATAGCTTTTATTCACTATATAGAATGTAACAGAAAGAACTGGCTAATGAAAAAACTTTTGTTCTAATCAATATTTTGAAAAAGTTTTTTTTATGTAAAATGTAAATAGTTGCCCATTGCAGATTTTTTATAGATATGGAAGAATTAGAATAACTTTATTGAGATGACTCATGAGTAGATATATCAGAAGTATTCTCTGCCTTTTTTGCCTTTCTCTAGCAACCAAATAAGTGTCTAAAAAATGTAAAACAAATATTAATATTAAATAGGTATATAGTTCTCTAAATATGTATTTTTCAAAAAGAAAAAACCTGATACTTAACGCATTTTAATACATAAAAATTTTTTTTCCTAATTTTCGAGCAGTTAAATAATCAAAGTCGACTTCGTTAGGTTGTTTTCTACTGTCCAAATATTTTTTATAATTTTTTTTTTTGGCAAAGCACATACATATTTTTTGAAACTATATGATGGTACAGCATCTATTAATTTGTTATCGTCAAAAGGAACAACAGACCACATTTCCTATGACTTCAATGGGTATATAATAGTTTAATATATCTTATCTTAAGTTTAGTGTCTAAAGTAAGATTTTTTTTTCACTAACTTAAATTAGTGATCTTAAATAAAAAAAATTTAAAACATAATATTTATTTTACCATAAATCAAATTAAATTATATGGTATCCATACTAAATGTCATACATTAACCATTATCTTAAATATTACATTTAAATAACATAAGTATTACATGGGTGATAATACAAATGAACAATTAAAGGTAATTATGAAATGTAAATACAAATTTAGGGTGATTTTTTAAGCATGCTCACCCCGTTTGTATGCTTAAATTAGGCATATATTCAAATTCTGATATTTGGAATTTTTTAGTGTAGTTAAATACGATATTTTTGTGTACTTAGATTTTTCACAACATTTAAGGATTATCCTGTGGCGATACCAACCTTTGTTTTTCAAATGACAACCTTTATGTTTTAAAGCATATTATGTGATTCTGATAATTTTTCTGAAAATGTTGGGGTATTGTAATCGAAATTTGAACAAAAACTTCCTTAGTTATTCTTCTTTACATACTAAGGAATAAGGATAGTAATATATACTAAATACTTTGTGAATGAATATGAGCTCGATAATTATAATTTGGTTACGTAGTAATTATTAACGAAAATTGCATACCGAATTATAATTATCAAGCTCATATCCCTTTTACAAAGCAATTTAGTATAGTAGTCTATCTATTATCCTTATTCCTTAGTATGTAAAGAAGAATAACTAAGGAAATTTTCGTTTAAATTTTGATTACAATACGTCAAAATTTTCAGAAAAATTATCTGAATCTTGTTTTGCTTTAAAACATATAAGTTGTCATTTGAAAAACAAAAGTTGGTATCGCCTCAGGATAATAATTAAATGTAGTGAAAAATCTACGTACACGAAAGTATTGTATTCTTAAAATATAAATAATAAATATAATATACTATTAACATTATAAAATACCTAGTGCTTACTGCTTATATTATATTATCTAAGACTGGTGTAGAATTTTTAATGGTATATAACAATGGAAGTAAAATCTGTTCATTATTATGAGGAATAAGTATCTTTTTTTGCTTATATCAGAAATATTATACAAAATAAGCTCATCGGATAAATTAGTAACAACATAGAATATCTAAATCTATCGATCTTATAGGGTTTAGAAATAATGGATAACTATTTTAAAAGAATTTACATATTAAAATTCCATCACTTTTTCTTTCATTAGAAATTATATTGACAACTAATCTCTTATCTTTAGTAATTAAGTAAGAATCAGCATCAACTTTTGTTTTTATTGTCATATTTTCTAATTTTAGAGAAGAAAATTGTATTCCTTTCATACTATTTCCTATAATTAGTCCACGATTATGAATACCAGTGAAATGAAGTACTATATATATATTTATATATTGTATTGGATATCAGTAAACATTTTCCATTTTATCTTTTAATGATTTGCTGTAGGGGCTTTTCAGGTTTTCTTAATATTTTTTTTAAGGATCCTATATAGTTTTCAAAAGGAAATGCTGAAAAGTTGTCTTATAGTATAATCTAGTGGTAATTCATACTAAATAAATACACATACAAAATATACTTTTATAATTGCAGATTCCCTATTAATAATGTAATTTTAAAGTACCTAATGACTTTAGCCTATTGGGTTGGCTTAGAGTAAAATATCTTGTATAACAAATATTGTTAGTACTTATGAATGGTTTATACTTAAAATTAATTAATTTAACAACCGGTAGGTAGGTATACAAGATAATAAGCAACCCTGATGTAAATTTTCATTCAACAGTTGGATACATTAATGTGATTAGTATGATAATGTTGTAGGTATTTAGGAATTTAAAATATATATATCACAATTATTAAGTAGAAAACCACATCAAAATGATAACTTCAAAAAAAAAATTAAGAACCTCACTGCAGTTCCTAACTATAGGTTACCTACTTGAAAATTATTTTGTACGTTAATTATATTGAACAATTATTTTTACGATATATTATTTTCAAACAAATTTGCTTTTTCGAGATTCAAATGTACACACAGCTTACGCATAGTAAACAAACCATATTATAATTTATATTTTGTCAGCGTTCATGTACCTACTTATAACTTATGTGTCTTTTGACTTATAATATCATTATATTTATATACTTAATAATTATTAAATTTACTTACCAAACAGACTGTATAATGTGTCGTTAATACTGTATTGTAAAAGAACGCGTATAACAGCAGTACCTATATTTCAGTACATGAATGATCGGTGTAATGCCTTATCTGCGCTTGCCGGTGAGTGGTAACGAAATAAACGAATTAACATTAAACGAAGTACAGAAAACGTACAGCGGTTAAAACTCAAAAATCACTATTTGCCATAGAATTACGAAACTACGGAAGACTAGGTTACAATTTGCATGGTGAACTGCCAGAGTCACAGAAAGAGTACAATATGTATATATCATCTTAGCGTAATATCATTTTATATTGCGTCAACATCGTTATCGTGGAAATTGGAAAAATCCAGATAATTCAAAAAATGGTAAGGAACGACTCGAAATAAATATTTACTAATTAGATGAACGATAGGCGATTTCGCGATGAATAAGATAACAATATTTATCCAGTAGAAGAAAGCAAGGAAGAACGAATTTTGCAAAACTGCTTGGCCGCAAACTAACAGAAGGCAAATAAAGAATTCAAAAACATAATATTCTTTTTGAAAAAGTATAATAATACTTAAAACTTATGTCAATATAAACAATGATGATTATGATTATACATTTATACCCGAAATATTATTATGTTATATAATATAATATTATACGTGGCATAAAATATGCTCAATATTTTATTATATGAACGTACCTACAATTTATTATATAAAAATACATTACCTATATTAAAATATATTACAATTTGCATTATAATATACAGTGCATACGATTGGAACTTGATATGACGGGTAATATAATGTCATACGAGTGGTCAACCTGTACGAAAATTGCTATCTTGTTATCATGTATCGCGATGACATATCAAAGTTGTACAATATGTCAATATTATACAACACTACAACAGCAGGCTGCACTATATTGGCATGTAATTTTTCTTAGAATGTAAATTTCCGACTTAAAAATGCATTTATTTCCAAAAACAATACTCCAACGACTTCTAACGGTAGGCGGATTTTTAGCTAATAACATATTTCACTTCGTTTGTGCATAATCGAAACATCAAATCGAAGAACATTTTAAGTATGTGATCCAAAACATTTTTTTTCTTCAAACATTTTTTCGGTATAAACTATGGTCACTGTTAAAAATAATTAAGGTTTCATTATTACTGTATATGCATAATGTTTGAAATTGTGTATATTGCTTGGAGTTAAATTTGATTTTAAAAGTTCTAAATTTTGATTCGGCCAGCAAAATATTTTGACACTAGTAAAAAATTACTTTTCAATCTTAGCTAAATACAATTTAAACAATATAAATACTATTCGAAATGAAGTAATATTGTATTTTTTATTTTATAAGATTGTTAAAAACTATACAAAACTGATGGACTCTGAAATAGTTAAGAAGGATTTGTTGGCTGCTGCAGGTGATAAAATTGAATTCAGCACATAAAAATACTTTGTTAATGTTTGAACATTTTAAGGAAATTTTTATTCCAGCAACATTTTACATAGAAAAGTCATATTATATCAATTATGTGTATGATAAGGTTTCAACGTCCACCCATTGTATTTATGTAATAATATTTTTATTAATTCTCTATAGCATTAATAATTTAAATGAAAATTTGAATTATTTAAACTAATGTGGTCTATTTTTTACAGGATGCAAAAATTAAATAAATGAATGTTTAAGAAAGACATGATGGCTGCAGCAGGTGTTCATATTGAATTGAAACAAACTTGCATCTCATT